CCGTCCATCCCACCCCTCTATCACGTGCTCTTTCTACAGGACTCTCGGTATTGATTTAATACACGGACGTTATATACAGCTGGACACAACAGCTCACTCCAAGGGTGCTTTTCCTTCACTCAACTCAGCATTTGCAATATTCAAATCATTAAAGGATTACCAAGCCACCACTGTCTACAAAAACAAAATATTTTTCCCTTTAAACAGCTCTCAGGGGAGTCACGAGCTGTCTGATTTCTCAAGCAGTTCACATGGACAGGAAGAGGCAGAGGAGAGGCAGGGACCCCATGCCTACAGTCCCCACTCACTACCACAACCAAGGGTTGTTTTCCTTTCCTCAGTGCCCTGGGCACACACTGGTCACACCACACACAAAAGCAGGATGGGTTTGTTTCACTTTCTAAAGTGCAAGATGGTACAAAACATCAACTTCTAGCTTCTACCTAAACCACAAAAGTGTTGCACTTTCTGGCCTGTGTGGCATGGCCCAGGCTAGGCTAAGCCAGGGATCTGCAGTGGCTCTGGTAACAGGCCAGAGCTGGGTCCTGACACATGTTGCCAGCTTTAGTCAGCAAGTGCCAAAGCACCAGTGAATCTCTTGCCCCCTCGGAAGCATTTAGTCCATTATCAACACAGTTACCTCACTGTTGCAGTTCTGATCACAGCAAAGGCACAGCAAAAGCTGACAGCAACAGTGGGGCCAGTTCCACAGCGCGTCCCACAGTGTCCCACTCACTCCCATGCCTGTGGTGTGGCTCCCCTCCAACCAGGGCTTCAGCTTTGGTCCAGTCAGGACCATCCCTGAGATCATTCCCTGCTGCCCCAGAAGGCTCACTCTGCACAGCAGCAGTGTTGAGCCTCACACAGAAGTGACGTTGCTGCCAGCACTGGGCCTGGGTGTCCTGGTAAATGCTTCTTTGCTACAGGGAAAAAATGCAGTAGACAACTTCCACATCACAGGTACCTTTAATTTCTCATTCAGGTTTGAGTTATGTACATGAGGGTGATTTACTTTAGACTTAAATAAAGTTTCTAGGTCCTACCAGGAATTAAACAGATGTTATTACTTTCCAGTTGCAGATGCATGGAGGGATTTAAGATGCACTACTTCTGTATCTGGAATTCTCCAATAGGACAAAAAGCAGCAAATTTTTCCAGTCCAAGCAGCTAACAAACAAAACAGACTTTATTAGTGCATGCTTATGTAGCAACACACACTGAGAATGACAGAAATCACTGGATTTAAGAGATTAGCCTGGATCTTAAACTGGCTCTGAAAACCCCCACATCAGAACTCCACTTTCTCCACCGCTTCCCAGAGGATCCCACACCCCAATCCAGCTCTGCCACAGAACAACGGGTCCTTCTGGGCTGACTGTGGGAGTTTACCCCTCAACAGTGCAGTGTGTTCGCCCTCCAACCCACCCTATGCTGGTCAGAGACTCTCAGCTTTAAAAGGGACATTTTAAAAGCCATGGATTAAACCAAAGAAATAAAATAAAGCACAAATTCATCTGTTAAAACATCAGTCTTGTACTTCATTGTATTGTCAATTTTAAAGTTGATTTTTAAAAAGACCTGGTTAGTTTGGTAAGTATTATAATTCTTGGTTATCCACAATGGAATCTGTCACAAAAATGCTGATTAAAATAATAATTTATAATATTTTCACTCATTTCAGATCAAAATATGTAACTTTAGGGATATGCAAATTAAAAATTGTGTACACCAAACAACATAAATACTAATAAGTGAGCTGGGCTGGTTTTGCTGATAGGATTTGGGTTTGGTTTTAATGTTTAGCATAATTCACACAGATGGGTGTGGGCTTTGTTCATGGCATCTTTCTTTTAGAAGCCTGCATGGATCTGACCTGCCATTGTCAGCTGATTCTCAAGATACTTAGTGCTTCCTTTAAAGCATTTCAGTGCTGCAGCCCAAGGTTTTTCTCCACCTGCAAACCCCAGAACGTTTTTACTGGAGCCACACTGCCAAGGTGAGGACCACCTCATTGTCCAAGGAGGCACTAAGGAAACCAAGAAACTTTTGTATACCCCCAATTTCCTGCCAGTGAATGAGGGAAGTGTCCTTTGATCCTGCTGTGTAATAGGAATTGCACATCTCTAACAAACATGGAAAGCAAACAGCAAGTTGGACCATGGCAGTCATTTGGGAGAGGAAGCTCTACTGGAAACTGGATCACTAAACTCTAGTGGGATGGACAACTCCTCCTGGAAGTTCGTCTAGCATAATAAGAAAACCAAACAAAAAACCATTTAAACTTAGTTTAACAGCACAGCTTAACCATTGAATGACCAAATAAAAAATAAATACATTTATCACATCAGCTGCGACTAAGATTTGTTGTCTTATTTCAGGTTTACAGTCAGTTCTATAAATATACCAACCCTTGCGCGATAGGAGGCCAAAACAAGTGTTTTCTGTTGATTTGGCAAATGTTTCATGACAAATATTCCAGAGTTTAATTAATTTCCATTAATTACATATAAGGTTCAGAAGATTCTGAATGCAGCCTTATTATCTAGTATTCTTAGAGAAGATTTATTAAGCACACTTAAGTGATGTTACATAGATACACATTTCTGAAAGAGCCCTACAAAACTTTTCCCAAATGAGGTCACCAACTCAGGCACCAACAGACAGCAGAAAGAAAAACAGGTATAATTATCCGACATAACGACACTGTCAACTATTCAGTTAAGTGCCCTATTCCAATCATCCCACTTCTGCCTTCTCAGGTCTGATGTGACCAATGCCAGCCCATGTTCTTAAACCTATGGTACTTCTAGACAACGTATGTAAATTTACAGTATACAATTTGGATTCACCATGCATGAATACTTTGTGTGTAACATTTAATAAGCTCAATCTACATCCAGAATAATTTACATGAAAGGACAATATTTATTTAAACAGAGCTCAATGGGTAACCATGGTATCTGAGTGCATCCAGAGGAAAAGGGGTCACTGTGAACTCCATCAGCGGCACTCCCACACTTTTACTGTTTGATCTACACTCCCAGTCACCACGTACGGGGCTGTCTTGTGGAAATCTGCCAGGAGACAAAAGCTCGCATTACCAATGGACCCAGAACTTCAGCATTTCCTACTCTCACTGAACGGCACTGCTTTTTCAAAACAATTCTACCAGCTCAAAGGCTAAATTTCAAAGCTTCTGGCTGTACTTTTGTAGCAAAATTGTATCAAGCTGTTACCAAGATCTGGTAACACCAACCAGGAATGTCAAGGAATGCAAACTAACTCTTTTCTGACGGTTGTGCACACCCTTCTTTTCCTTTTGCTGGGCAAGCACTGACCCTAGAGCCCTCCCCAGGTGCCGGCAGGCTCTAGTGACAGGTTCCGTAACTCCCTGTCAATTAACATCCTTATCCATGTGCAACACTGGCAGCAGAAGTGTAAAAATCCACCACGCTCCAACTCTACAACTCACATGGGGAGGGGGTTTGACTAGAAATTGGGAGTTAATTTCTAGTCCATTTCTTCTCCACAGAGAGCACAAGGCACTACTAGAGCCCCAAGGTGAAAGTCAGCCTAGCGCTCAGCTGCAGCCAGTGGGGAAGCAGCAGCTCTGGCATGGGGAGCAATACGTACCCAACGAGGTAACAAAGTGTTCGTGCGCGTTGAGGGTTTTCATGCATCGCTTGTTCTTGAAGTCCCAGACACGGAGAGTCTTGTCATCAGCACAGCTCAAAATAAACTTTCCCCCAGAATGGAACAGGACTCCACGTACCCAGTTATCATGGCCCACCTTGATGGGCACAAGGAGAGATCAGTCAGCAGGCTGAGAGCTGAGCAGCCCACACCTCACACTATGGCACACTGAGGGACGCCTGCCTGGCCCCACAACGATACCACTGAACTCCTGAAACCTCTCAGATCTCACAGCTTATCTCCAGTTTCTATTATTACATCCCCATCCGTTCTCCCAACAATGCAAGTTCCTGTACTTGAAGGCAAACAAACAGCAGTCCTCATGTGATCTGCACCCGTTCTGCTCTCCACCCCCAGCACCACCACCCAGTCCAGCCAGAATCTGAGCTGGGAACAGCAGGCTATGGCCTGCAGGAAGTCCCACATGTGGCAACAACATGATACTTTACAAAAGACAAAATTCAGATCATTACCAGCGTTTCTGAAAACAAACCAAGCTACTCATCACAGTACTGCATTCACACTATGGTTTTGGAGATAGTCAGCATTTCTTAGCAACAACAAGATCTGAACCACAGAAGCCATTAAAACTGTATTTCCAGCATTTGCATTATTATAACTCTGGCTTCTCTTGAAAACATGACAAGCAAGATAATACATTTCATTAAAACTAGTTATTCATATGCAGCTATGACTGCCAGGAAAAACACCAATGGACTTACAAGTGTCATAAGGCACATGCCAGTGCTAATATCCCACATCTTAATGGTCTTGTCTCTGGATCCAGACAGCAGAAAAGGCCCAGGCTTGCCACTCTTCTTAGTCTACAGAAAATTATGGTTAAGTTATGGTATACATAGAATGGAAGTGAGAAGAGGAGGAATGAAGCCGATCCCTTCCCAGTGATATTGCTTAGTACCAAAATCACATCATACAACAGCTTACAGTGAGTAAACACACACTGACGAAGCTGGGTCACAGGCACTGGTACTAATGCTAGGAGAATTACACAATTTTTTAAAAGAAATGGTTGTTTGTCCTGCTGATTGTACAAGCCAAGCAACGCTTTGAATACACACTTGCCTACTGGAAGACATCCTCTGTTAACAGCAGACGCAGCTCAAGTGCCACATGTCAGGACAAACGAGGATACAGCTCACACACATCTTTGTGTTCACATTCTTCACAAAATGCAATGAAGCAGGGTTAGGAATTTCTGAAAACCTCCTACTCTGAAGTGATTTGTGTGTGTGTGTCCGTCCACGGTGTGACCACCAGCCAAGCTCTCACCGGCCCCAGGAGTGCAGGGACAGTGCTCCCCTGCGGGCTGTGCCCGATCTCACCAGCAGGGGGCAGGGGAGGCACCACTGCAGAGCCTGCACGGCCGCAGGAAGGTACACATGGACTTGCGTTTTAATTACTGATAATTAAAAGATTATAAGGATCTTTTACAGATTCAAGTAAAATTTGACTGAAATAACCTGTAAAAACCATCACTAGGCAAGTCCCCGTGTTCAGTGTGGCTACTTTTCCCCTGGGGTGTCTATCCATCAGCCTTTGGAAGTGGAGAGCAAAACAGCAATGCCGGGTGGGGGATTTGACTAGAAACTGGGGTTAATTTCTAGTTCCTTCTTCTACAATTTAACATCCTTAGAAAGAAATTTCTTCTGGCCTTTAGCAAGCCTTTCTTGAGGCTCACTAGAAGAGGTATCTGTGATCACACAAACTAGGATTCATATTAGTTAAGGAACACTTCCTCACATCAGTAGCTGTACAGTAAAACACAGCAGCTGCTGTTTGATTCCTTGGTGCACACTGCACCCAAGGCAGCTTCATTCTGCGTTCTTGACTGGCTCCTTCCCCCCTCTACCTTCCAGTTGCTAAGCATCCATACAATCTTCACATTCTGCCAGAGAAGCTGCTTAACACATTTCTTTGCTGCAATACAAGACAGGGGGTCCCACTCTCACCCTTCCTTGAACAGAGCATCTCCCCAAAGTTCACTTTCACTACTGCAAAGATAGGTCCTAAACACAAAAGCTGGATCCTGGGAAGCCAAGACGGGGCTCAGCTGCACACCAAGATACTTGGACAAAAGTACTCATACACCTGCTGTAGCTGCCAGGCCCTCTGAGCCCAAAGCTCAGTGGCTGTAATGCTACACAGAGCATGGACAAAGTTCTCCCAGTGCATGCTTGTGTAACAGCCCGTGAATGTTACCTCTGATCCCGTAGCTTCTGATATGGTGGAGTAGGAGCTCTCGGGAGCCCAGGAAATGCACTCTACCACATGCTCGTGCTCTCGGAGCTCAGCTTTGCACTCCTTTGTCGCTACCACCCACACGCGCACCGTCTGGTCATTGGAGCAGCTGGCAATCAAGGTGCCATCCTGGTTGGGCCGCACCATGCGCACCCATTCTCTGTGCCCCGTGAAAGTCTTCACGCAGTAACTGTGCAAAAAACCACAGCATCACTCAAACACCGATGCAACAACCCACTGCACATGCCTTGGAAATCTGAGGACACTTAATGTCTCAGTGGTCAAGATAAAATATTTTAGCACAGACATGTTTATCCTGGCAGATGATGGAGCATGCCATAAAAGGTTTGTGAAATGGACGCTGACATGAGAAAGCAGTGACAGCTAAGAGCTACCAAAACTTGTTAATGTAAAAAGCAGGAAACTTAGGGGAAAATGAGGCTGACATTACTAGTTGCATTAAACAGGTATTTCAAGAACAGGTAGAGATTTACAGGTCATTTAGGTATTAGAGAAACAACTGATAAATGAAACAAGCAAGAAGACAAAAAAAAAAAAAAATCAGGACACACCTTGATCTGTGTCCAGAAAAGTAACAGATACACTCTTTAAACTCAGGGTTAACCAGTGAATTTATTTCCTAATTGGTCATGAGCTAGAGATTTACCCTCATAGCTTCCAGAAAGACAAAACCAGTTAGCTTTAATTGGTCAGTATTAACATCTAAACTCCTCTGCCTAATGATTGTGGCAGAATCCTTCAGTGAAGTACTCTAAACGGCACATAATTTCTCAATTTAAATAGTGCCTGCTGACACTCAGATTCCTGTGTCCCATTTCTACACACAGTGGCTTCTCCTCGCTTTTGTTCTGGTGCTGTTTGCTCACAAGTGCACTTACCCTGTCTGGACTTCCCACATTTTGATAGTTTTATCCCTTGAGGCAGAAACTATATGATCTCCATTGGGCATGATGGCTACTGAAGAAACATTATGATCATGACCTAAAAACAAAATAAAACCTTTCTTAAGTGGCACTGGCAGGGTTTTCACAGAGCACACAGGACTTGCCATTTTTTTTATCTTGGTCAAGTAGCTACAGCAGCAGTGTGTGTTTTATGGATTAATCTTTACATGTAAACTTGAGGTTTTATGAAATAATCATCCACATTTTTAGAACCCACACAACCCAGACACTGAGCATCCTTAAAGGTGCTTTCTGTTTACTTGTGTGTATCTATGGGTGGGTGTCTATTTCTACATACCACTTCTAAAAGATGACCCTAAAAGCAAGAAAAAACTCTTACATAAGACTACAAAAAACATTTGCTGTCAATATTAGAATCTTATAGCTGTGGTTGTTGTACTTTCTCATTTTTCCTATGGCTTTTCAAACCCAGTGCAAAGGCAGCATTCCCATGTGATCGAACACACGCAGCCAGACCTTGCATGGAGCAGCCAGCCATGCATCCTCTGGCACTGATTCCTCCCTTCCAGTAGCCCTGCATCTGGAACACAGAGGGCTGAAGGAAGGAATATTTCACTGATTTGAAGGCAGTTTCATCGTCTAGCAAGCATTTAATATTTAAAGATAAAATCTCTCTAAATCCCTCAGCATCATTATGTGGGATGCTTCCCACACCATCATGCACAGTAGATTTAAGATGCTATTTCATTCCATAAACACTGCTTGTATCACCTATTTACAGAGCACTCAAAGCATCAAACTATATCCCCCCTTTTTCTTTTGGAAAATACTCTGGTCTATGACCCCTTTCCACATCAGCAGTTTTCGTGGATTTAAAAAAAACCCAAAATTTCACAGACTGCTAAATCAATCCCTTTATACCTTACCATGCATAGTTCTGATGCACTCAAAGCCCTGGAAATCCCATAGCTTAATGGTCATATCAGCAGAACAGGAGGCCAAGAGTTTGCCAGTGTGGTCAAAGGAAATATCTTGCACAGAGTCTGTGTGACCCTTCAGGGTGCGCTCAAAGTCTCCTGTCTCATAATCCCACACCTGACAAGGGAACAAACAACCTGTTAGCAGCAGCCCATTACTCTTTGTATTCTCCAGCCCCATATTTGCACTCTGCAGGCCAGTCTGACATCTTGCTCAATAATTAATCAAGCAAGAGACAGACAGCCCTAAAAAGCTTAAAGAGACATTTATTTTTCTCTTCTGCTATGTGATTTTGTTACTTACAAATTAACTGAATTAATGCACCTTGAAAACTGCTTTTCAGCTAACTTTAAGCATTATAAACCCAGCAGGAGAACAAGTTTCACTGTATTGATGTCACCTATTCCACAGCCAGTGTCTGGAGCACACACATACCTTTATTGTGGCATCCTCTGAAGCAGAGACCATAACACTGAAAACTGGATGGAAAATGACTCGAGTGACAGGACTCCTGTGCCCACTCAATGCATACTTCTCTGGAGGACGAGGAATCCACTCCTTAGGGTCTCGTTTCTGACCAAGAGGTCCACCTGATGTAAATTCTTCTTTTGCTTCATTCAGCTTCGATTCTAATTCCATTACCTAAATGTATGAATTTTAAAGAGACTTTTCATTTCCAGTTTTATACAAGATCTAATTCACCTTCCTGCATTAGTAATCCAAATAACAACTGACTCAAAAACTCAGAGTAAAGCAAAGATTGCATGGACCAAAACTGATTACCAACACTCAGTAGCACTGGTTTTAAAAATCAAACCTGAATTAATCATTTATTGTTTATTCTTCAATAATTTATAGTTAATTCTTAATAATTTAATCATTAATAATTTAGTCTTTTCAAATTCCCAAGTATTTTCACAGGAAAAAAAAGTTCTACAAAAACCCCTTTACTTACACACTGTACAAATACATCTGAATTACCATCGTGCCAAACTACCAAAAAAGGTTGTGCTAACACAAAGGAATGCTACTGTGGCAGGAATTCTGTGTCCTGTTGGAGATAGCACACATATTAACCAACAACAGAAACACTGGAGGGCTAATAAACCCTCGCTGTATTAACCTGCACAAGGGATAGGACTTCATTGTTAACACACTGATTTTAGGGGATTTTTGCTTTTAATACACTCTTGAGCCACTGAAGCATGACTAAAAAGAGTTTTGTACTCTCCACTTGCAGCACAATTCCCCACTGGAATGCACTGGAGCTAATGGCTCCTTCCCTCTAGGGCCATGGCCAAAGACAACAGGCAGCACTGATTTTTCCTCTGTTCTAGTCCAGCCTGACCCTCTGCACACAGTGATTCCACCTCCCTACTCACCAACTGCCTCAAGGCACCTCTTGCCTCTCCAGCTTCAGGATTGCGCACGCCTGTTCAGTGCTGAATGCTTTCTGTGCTAACTTTTTATATATGTATATCCAGCACATACATATTTACCTTCTTTTGTAATCTTATAACAGATGTCCATTTTTTTTCCAGAAGTCCAGCATACTTCTTATCTAACTCTTCATTCTGAGAAGAAGCATTTAAAGAAAGGAAGAAAAGCAACACAGAAAAACAAATATCAGAGACGCAGAAGTAACTAAATGCTGCATTTTCTTTCCATGACAAAAGTACAGTCTCATGCTACAATAATCCTAAATGAGATGAAGATAACAAACATCAGAAAATAACCATGCCACGGCTTACTCCATGGAAGATAAAAGCTCTGAGGACTGGCTACCTTGGTCAGAGACAGAAATTAATCTACTACTATAGGGGGGCAATGGTAAAAGCTGGAGTTATCTGCATGAATAATCCATACAAAAATTAAATCTCTCTTTGTAGAGCTACACATCAATCCTTCCAATTTACTCAAATAATTTCAGCCTTTACCTTTTTTTTTTCATTTTAGTATAGCCCACTCTAATTCAGATTTTCTTGCATAAAAGTCGTGAAACTTTTAGCAACTGCATTTTCTCTTTCCCTCAGGACCATCTAACCTATTTAGATTGCTTTCCTAAGCTTTAGGAAGAGGAGACTAAATTAGGCTGATAGATAAGGCAGATAGGGGAATAATATTAGAATTTTCAATTATAAGTTTGGTATTTCAATTTGTCATTTCTACTTATTTATGCAATACAAGTAGCAAATTGGAGAAATTAAGTCAATCTTCAAGCATATTAGAAAAAGAACAATGCAAGATATGTAATAAAAAGGCAAGGATTTATCCAGCACACAGAAGTTTACTACTCAATCCAGCTGTAGCCATATGAAATGCATACTTCCTATGCTAACAGGTGGCAAAGATAGAAATTATACCAAATCATCTGTGACAAAGGCAAATCAACAGAATGCAGTTGCAAGAAATGACTGGTCTGAGTCATTGGCACCTGTACAGTCTAAGCAAACAGATCTGCTTACCAAAGCTGGTCACACTGTCACAGAATCACAGACTGGTTTGGGCTGGAAGGGACCTTGAATCTCATTTTGTTCCACCCCCGTGCCAGAGGGGAACACCTTCCACTAGACCAGGCTGCTCCAAGTCTGTCCAATCTGGCCTTACTGGATGATGAACTTCTACCAACTGTTTCAGCCTTGCCCTCCCTACTACATGGTTACCCAAGAGATGTGCAACAGACTCAGGCAATGACTTAACTCCTGACCCAACTCAAATCTGAAAAGAATCTTCCAACATTGGCTCTTGTATGATAAAGCAGAGGACAAAAATAATTTGGTTTTGTCTTCTTGTTTCGCAAAGATTCCCAGTGAAGTCAGTCTCCAAAGTTGCACAAATCTGGTCATAAATTTGCTTAGAAATGGTCAACTCACCCAATGACATTTTTCCCTTTTCTAGCAAGGCAGTAAGCTGTGTGAGCTCATCACCATCAGTTCTGAAACTGTCTGAGCTATCACGTAGGTAACAGACGCACAGGTTCAGAACAGATGCAGATGCCATAAAACTGACAGACTTCTAAATGAAAATATAGATAAAAATCTTGTTTGAACTCACCACATCTAATTCAGCTTCCTTTTTAAAAACCGAATATGCCTCCTCGTAGCCATTGGAACGGAGGTAATCTGCTATTGCTCGATTTCTACAAAACAACATTTTAAATACAATTTAAGGAGTCAGAGAAAGATTGTCATCACAACATAGCACATTCTGATCAGATCCTTGTCTACATTCCAAAGCAAAATAGCAAAAAATTTCCAGAATTTACTCAAGATAAATGTAGAATTCACAAATTGCAGCTTATATTGCAATGGGCTTACTGCAAATTGAAGAATCCATTTTTAAACCATCTTTGAAATTATATTTTCATCATTTTCCAATTCTAGTTTCAAATACCAGCAGTTCTATCAAAACTAAATAGAGAGATCCAAATCACAATACACAGTACTTAAAGGGCATGTGAACAGAGACACTCTAAGATCTATTTGGAAACAAATGCTAATAACTGAAGTTTAATGAAAATGTAACGCAAACTTAAAAATAATAATCCCTTACAGTTCATCTCGTTGCCTTTGTGACAGCACCATGGTGGCTGAGATGTCAGGTTAACGTGATCAAGCAGTGGCTTCTCCTCAAGAGCTAAAGTCTTGGGAACCCAGGATCCACAATTCAGTCTGCCACAGTGGCTTAAATCACAAGTATTTCTCCAAATGTGAAATCCAATAGGAAATCCAGAGGCATTCAACACAGAAGATTCAATCCATCTACAAGGAAAGAGAGATCATTTGTTTCCTTGAAACAAGCATTCCTCAGGCAGCTTCCTTAAGATCTATCCAGCTTCTTTAAAGACTCTGGCTCTACCCCAGCATGGGGGCCTTGCAGCTTCAGAGCTACACAACTGTAGCAAACAAATGACTTTTCCCACCCCAGTACCACCACCTGAGGAAGGTCCAAAGAACCTTTGAGTAAGAGACAATACTTGTTTTCTTTTCAGTCACATGTTAATGTAGTTTACCTAGAGTTAATACCTCCTGTTCCCCACATTTAGGGCACAGCAAATTTTTGAACAGCCCTCCAATCTTATCTGAGTGGCACCATTAACATGGGAAGAGCTGCCATGGGCCCATTACTGCAGATGGGCTCAGGCAGTGGAGTGGAGATCACAACACCTCTGGCAGTGCCAGCCAATTCAGGATATGGCTGAAATCCAATATGCTCGAGATAGTTCAAGTCAGTAGAGTTGTGCTTTTCCAAAACACAGCTCCTTAGTATCCTTTGATTCAGAAACATGAACTGCAGCATTCCCAGTGCACAACCTGCTTCAACTGGGCAGCTTCAACCTCTGTCACAGTGACATCACCAAACCCATGTTGTCAGCACTGCCTTTGCCTTCTGCACTGCAGGGACCTTGTGAGCACCACAACCATGGGAAGTGCTGAAATGGCACTTCTTGCACACCTGGCAGGTTCTGTACCGAACTCGTCATTCATTCAGGCTGCTCAGCAAGTCTGACTGACCAACCTGCCTTCAGCACTGAGATAAACTGAGGCAACACACACAGGCTCAGAGACAGCAGGTGGGTTTGTAAACTTCTGACCAACTGCTTGAGGACTGCATGCTCCTACTGCCTCACCTCTGCCACTCTCTAGACACACAGGTACACTGACTTCCGTATCACAGCTCAATAAAAATTTCAGTAAGGAGCCTCCTTTAAACAATAGCCTGCTATGAAAAAAGTAAGGAAAATACTAAGCTGGTATCATTAATGGCTACTTATTCATCACAGGGGATCAGAGGCTTCTTTCTAAACCTATCTAGGCCCTGCTGTCTGCTTCAAAATGAGCTTAAGCTGCAAGTTGCTTGTTTCTACCCTGCGGGTGGATCTTCCACGTTAAATGCTGCACACCATAATACTGCCCTGAAAGCCAGTTAGGATAGGAACACTCTGAACAGGCAATGCCTCATTTAATCAGTCTAACCACTTCTCCAACAGCTATTTCAGAAACAATCCAGCTGAAAACTAGCAGCACAGGCTGCACCCTTTCAGAGAACAGAAGCAAGCATTTCACTTCCTCTTGTCCTATACCTAATTCATGCCAGGTAAAGAGACAGCTGGGTGTCAAGAGATGTCCGGTGCTCAGTGCAAAGCAGAGTACCACACGCAAATTAAGGGAAATTCAGTTATCAGTAAGGTGCTGCAGTGCTGAGAGGCGCCCTGCAGAGGGCGCGCCGCGGGACAGCCGCTGCTGAGCCGGGCTCGGGCACGGCACTGCCGAACGCACGGCAGCACAACGCACGCAAAACGTCCAAAACCTGCCTCTAGGGCTGCCAGGGGAAAACCTGAACGTGGGGTTTGTATTATGAAGCCCCACTAGTCAGTGAATGCCTAGCAAATCCAGTGCCAGCGTACTGATTCCACTAAAAATCCCAATATCTCATCAATTTTGTTGTGGCATCCAGGAGAAGCAACTACAGCACTTGTCTAAAAATAACAGCAATTGTGTTTGTAAGGCCACCCTTCTCATGTCACCTATTTAGAAATGCCTTTTCCCTGTCAAATGTAAAGTAACCCCAAGCTTCTCCATACCCTGTATCCACTTCCCAACACCTGGGCTGCTCCACAACCTAACTCTGAATTGTTAGTGAGAAACAGACCCTAGAACTAGATAAATTCCAACAGCTACAGGGCAAAACAGCTACTCCTGCTATTAGCAAATAACAGCCGAGCCAAAGGCACCAACCAACTGATCTACAGCATCTCGCTCCTCCAGAAAGCGTCTGTTCCAAGCACCCTGCTCAGCATTCTTGTTCTGTGTCCTGTTGGAGATAGCACACATATTTACCAACAACAGAAACACTGGAGGGCTAATAAACCCTGTTTATTAACTTTTAACTTAACTTTTAACTACAAAGACACCTGAAGAGAAGGCAAAGTATTTTTAGGACTGCCTCCTTCATAGAGGAAAACAGAACAAAACAAAAACAAACAAAGCCCACTGCAAACAAAAACCAAAACAAACAAAAAACCCCACACACAAACCCACTCAAACAAGTGTCCAAACCCAAAAAGCCCAAAAGGACCACCATTAATTACACACCTGTGCCACTATGTGCACTACCTTTCTTTCAGCTGGAGCAGACTTTTTGACATAGAGGCTTCAGTGAAGCAAGACTAACCAGTCCTCCTCCATCACCTATCAGCCACCACCGTGTTACCCCCAAACAGCTCAGCCAAGAAAGGCAGCTGGAGCTCTGGGGGAACCCTGGGGAAGCCCTGGGGAACAAAAGCAACCGACACTGGCCACCGTGTATCAGCATCTTAAGGTAGTGTCATGACAAAAGTTAGATCTTTTGAAGAAAAAGGTGTCTGCACAAGAATTTTACTTTGTCCACTATTAAATACAGGAAGAAGCACACTGAACTTAGCCACCCATGGAGTAACAGCTACTAATTAAGTGTGAACAAGCATGTGCCTTTTATTAATACCTACTTACACTCCTCCAAGTCGTAGTTTCTAACTTAAAACCTATCTGGTTCCCTATCAATAGTCTGCATATACAAAAGCACCAAGTGGCAAACCTCTGCCTAAGGACAGTAACAGAGGGCTACAGGTGTAAGATCAGGCATCTTTGTAAGCCTTTTGAAACTGGGAGCTGGCAGAACGCCTGTCACTGGCACAGGTACGACACACGCAATGGGCACCTCTCACTCCTCCTAGCAACACAAATCCTGCACGGTTTTCAACACAACACAAACCCTTCCTTACAAAACATACTGCTCAGCTCCACTAACAGCAGCAGATCCTTAGCAGGCAGCTGCACCTCATCCCAGCTGCCCACCTTTTTACCCGGCTACGGACCAGCTTTTATATTGAGGACTGGTAGAAACGTCAGAGCAGTAAGGAGAGCAGACCTACTTCAATCCTTCGGTGCTGCAGGACTAGAGAGCGGAATACTAAAGCATAATCTTTAAAAAGAAATTAATTTAGAAAGAGACAGCCAAGAATCATCACAGGCCAGAATTTTTCCCTGCACAAGCTTCTAAAGCACAGAGAATTATTGATGAAGTGCAACAAACTGAGCAGAAATACCTGAAAAGCAGAAGAATTCTCTCCTGTAAGGGAAGGTGAAAACAGTACAGTTCAGATTCATCTCCCCTTCTCATTTGAAAAAATAAAATAAAATAAATGGGACCCCCTGTTTCTTCATGTCTGACCATCACCCCCCAGAGATTCCTGAGCTTCACCACACTGAGGACATGCTCAGTTGCAGAGCCAGTGCCACCTGGGCAGCACACACCCCTTGGGCAGCTGGCCATGAGCAGGGCACCCTGCCAGCCCCACACCACACTGGCAGCAGGCACCACTGGCCTGGCACCGACAGGAACACACACTCTTCCCCGGGGTGACTGAGGATTCAATACACCCTGCTGCTTCCTGCCTTCAAACACTGCATTCTTCCACTGATGGGCATCTGTGCTTCAAGTGCTTCCTAGATTACTGGAGAACTTCACAATAACTTAATTTGAGACCTGCAAACGATTCATAAATGCACCAAGAGCAAAATGAAACAAGTTCAGCTCCATTTGTTAGCTGACACAGCTCTACAGGAGGTATCCAAGTATCTACACACTCAGTCACAGCAATGAGGTAGGGAAAAAACAATCACTCTTAGGCAAGAGATTCCCCTCAGCTCATGGTATGTCATGCCAATAAATGATATACTTTGGCTTGTACGTATTTCTATGACTGTGTTCATATTTCCTTCAGGAGACACTTAAATATTTTCTTTAAGTATTCTCCAAATAAAACTGAGAAACAGACTATGAAATCAAATTGATTCATCAGCATTTTAGTCTCACCCTGACAAAAATATGTGTTCATTTACCAGAAGAAGCATCAAGCAAGAGCAAAATTACTGGAATTAAAATTTCTAGTGCCCGTTCTGTACATACAAAAAAATAAATCACATCTAGTCTGTAAATTTCTTCAGAGTTCATTATGATTTTGTTTAGCAGAGTATACTGGATGTTAAACAGTACTAAAATCTGGGTTATATACCTAAGCCCTTCCAAATCCACATTTTCAGAAGTGTATCCTGTCAGTGTGTTCCACAGGATTCTGTCAGTAAGCTTGGTTCAAGGTTCTCCACTGCTTTTGTTTGCTCCTATTAAGTGTGTCATAAACACTTTTAAGGACCAAAACCATAAACAAACCCCTTACAATGGCTCAACTGACTAACAGTGCCCATTTCTGCTGTTCAGAAAGTCACAGTAAAAGTAATTCCCAGTTGAGCTGTGATCCCTCTCACCAGCAGTGAGCTCCCCTCTCCCAGGAGTGAGGCACAGCAAACCCAGCTGTGACAGCGCCTCTGTCACTGGCAGTGCTCTGCTACCACAGTGAGGTGTAAGAAGACCGAAAAATCAGCTTCAGCTTCATTGCTTGGTTCACAACACTGGCAGCAACAGTGAACTGTTCCACACACCAGCACAACCACCCCAGGTTCACTCTGCTGCTGCTGCTGTTGTCCAGCAACCTCATCTGCTAGTGCATATCCCAAATATATGTCCATGGCTCCTCCAGGAACTTATCAGTAAATGAGTTCAATTTCTGCAGTTTTTAGGACCGTTGCTTAGGCTCCATAAACAGTCTTCTCCACAAAAACACAAGCTTGGTAAACTAAGCATGTACCTGTAGCTCATTATATTAAAAATTAGAAGAGATACATGGCAACAATTACAGAGCTAAAACATCAGCTGATACAGA